TAGAGGAGGGATTATAAAAGAGGAAGCAGACTCCCACAGATGTGAGAAGATAAACGCACAGACACACACTGTGAAATTTAGCCTCAAGTGGAGTTGTGTTCCTGTGTCTGTTTCCCCGATGTTTCATGTCCACACGAACGCCGCAGATACGTTTGAAAACGCATCCTTTCCTCTTTCCTGGAATAGTCCTATTTGTTGCAATAAAGTTTATAATCCTCGATGTAAAATCGTCTCACACAAGCTAAATACTAGTGGCAGGTCATAAAAAAAAACAACCCAAAACACTCAAAATCTACATATTTAGCCAACTCCATATCAGAGTGTCAACACTTTGAGGGATTAAATCCTTGTCCTCCTCTGTCTCTCCCATTTGTTCACTCGTTCTCTTAAAAGGCTTCCATTTCCACGATGCCATTATTCCTGATTACCAACCCGTCGAGTCTGTCCCACTCATTAAACCAGACGAGACTACTGCAACCTGACCTGTCTTCTGAATACTCCGCATTAGATTTAACACCAGCCAATTTAACCAAATATAAAAAAACCACATCAAAACCATCGAGTTGTTACAGAAAGCAATATAATTATCACAAACAAAAAGCGACCTGAGAAGAAGAGTGTATGTCTGTTTCTGACTATAAAGGCAGAGAAAGGGTCCATTCACATTTAACTCATCATTGTGGTGCTTTCTTTCAGGGACTAATAACCTACAGACGACATGTCTCTTACCTGAATTTCCCAACTGTTTGTAAAATCTATACTCCAAATGGAGCTGCGGCGCCCTCGACTTTATAGGTTCCTGAAAGAGAAGAGAGAGAAAAAACAATGAGTGTGAAATATTATTTAGCTCACAAATCAGTTTTTCTTTATCCACAATCGTTCTGCTGGTGGTTTGACTCAGTTAACCATGGAGGTAAAATCATCCTCAACGGAGCGACACACAAACAAAAGCTCTTAAAGTAATATTTTGAGTTTTGGGAACTTATAGACAACATCAAATAAACACAAACGACTCTTAAGAGCTTTACAGAAAGGGAAGAAAGTAGCTTTGTGAGTGACAACCTGGCATACACACCCACCTGCAGGTAACTTAAATACCTACTGTACAATGTTTTAATGCCTAACAGAACTTAAATGAAGTCTCGGGTCAGACTTGTGGGACGTGAGAGGATAAAGAGCAGTTCCAGCTGGTGAACAGCAGGCTTTTGTGATGACATGGCTGATAATCAACCCACTGGGACATATTGTTCATTACATCGCCAGCTCCAGCTTCACAACCTAAAATGTAATCTGATTAACCCCACTCTCACGATGACAAGGGCATTATAGACAAACGTGAGGAGGACAGAACAAACACACACCCAACTTAATTCCTTTCCTTAATCTTCAATAGCTCGTGAACAGCCTGTGTTAAAGCTCCTGACCACAGTAATGGTATGCAGCCTCCTTTTCACACACTGCCAGCCAATACTGGCTTTACACGGGTATACAGACGTACATTATCCTTTTTTGTACAACTGAGAAAATAAGCTCCAATATGCCTAATATTATGAAGCAGCCATGCATAAGTCGGGATGCACCGATACATCAGCTGAACAGCGTTATCAGCCGGTATTCGCCCTCAATAAAGGAGATTTATTGTAGCCAAAGTATGTTTGGGAAGTCTTTTAATGTACTTTACTAGAAAAAACAAATGAACACTTCAAAAGTTGCTGTTTGTTTTTGTTGTGTTAACAATAGTGAGTCAGTTAGATTTGGTTTTAAGTCAGCTGCTAAATATCACATCATCCATCCATCTCACTACATTTTAGTCTCTTAACTTCAGGTGTGCAAAAAACACAGTTTAGCCTGTTAAATGTATGTTATCTAATCAGTATCAGTCAGGAGATAATCGACAGTTATCTGAAAAATAAATCCATTTTGTGCATAAAAATGTACTTCCATCATAAGCCAGTAAAATGTAAATGTTGGTGAAGTTTGCGTTGAAGTAAAGCCGTGAGACAATTAGTAATGAAAGACAGATGGAGAGTGAAGCGTTCGCTCTGTGGATTAAACTACTCTACATACAAATTCATGAAAAACGCCTAAAACTTTATTTAGCCTGGCGACTTCTCAAGAGGTGCCTGAAGTGAGATTTAATTTTAAAAGTTGTTTCCCATGTGCGTCTCATTCCGAAGCACTTCTATTTTAAATTATATAAACTGAAAGCTGAAAGCTGTTAAGCTCCCACATTCACTCCATTAGGCCTTTATCAAATCAGGAGCATTTTCTCTTCTGGTGCCCGGCTAGCACGTAGGAGTGCACACACACAGTCTGAGCTGTGTTCAACACAATCAGGGACTTTCTATTCTTTTATGGTGACCGTTTGCAGTCCCATGGGATGTGTTCTCTGTGGTTTTCACTTCAAGGTTTGATCAAAAGATGGTTTAACAAGAGGTGGTAAACAAGAAGTGACCAACCACGATTCACTGCGTGCCAAAATACGCCGCACACAGATGCTTCATTTAATTATCCTGATAAACAAATAAAAAAGGTTCCTCAGACATTCCTCGACTTTGACTGTACCTGCCTTCTGCAAAACACTAATATCTGATGGATTGATTAAGAAAACAAAGAACTCAAGAAGTCTGTAAGTCTGTTGTTTTTCCACTGGCAGAGTTCAGTTTTCTATCGCCAGCTGCTTCGTATATTCTAGTCTGACTCACAGGAAATAGGCTGTGGCCATATTTTAGTCAGCATTCTGCTCCTCTTCTGCTATCTGCATGTTAACAATAACAACAATAACAACAACAACAGCCACAAACTCGGAGCGAGCTCAGATTTTCTACACTAGTTTTACTTTCCCACAGGAAATGACTTCAGGAGGAAGGTGAAGAACATCCAAAGACGAGCAAGTGACATGTTTTTGTTCTGGTGACGAACAGATGAGTGATGTGACGACAGACATGTTCATCTACAACTGATGACTGGGAAACAGATGGGCTCTCCTGTTCCCATATGACAGCAACACGGGAAAGTACAAGGACTTCAATACACACCAACGAAATCCTGTGTGTGGTCTCACAAACACTACATACAACGTTGTGTTTTTCTGTTATCTATGGAGAAAAAAACTGTTCCTGATAAAACATGATGCCAACAGAGAAGACAGGAGGCAATACAGAGGAGTGGAAGCCTGTAGGAGGAAGACACGTGAGCGGTCGGGGAGGCGGAGCGGCGAGCGGCTGTAGCGTCATCCACCTCCCACATGAATACGGACAACAAGCACGTCTCGCACAAGTCAGGCCATGCCAGGGAGCGGAGGGAAAGAAAACATCAAAAATATATAAATAATGACTCCAAACAGATGGCACCAAACCACAGGACCCTTTAAAACAGCTTACAATAGGAAACAGAGGCTTATGGCAGCTTTACGTACTTAAGAGTCATCTCTATTCCCAGCAGATGGGATAAGCTATGGCTGTGTAAACGACCAGGGCCGAGCTGCAAAGGTCTGATGTAACATCTTTGCATATGACGAGGATTTTTCACAGCTCCTATCCAAATCAAATAATATGTGATCGGCTCCCTGTGCCGACACGCTGCCCTGCACGGCGGAGCTGCACCCACAGGAGCAATTCTGTAAAAACAAAAAGGGAATGTGCCGTTTTCCGACGACTTAACAGTTGAACTTCATCTTGTTTGTGATGCTTAACTGAAGTGGAAGTTTTGGTTTCCCTGTGTGGTGTCATGCAGAGAGCCGCTTAATGCCAAGTGTGCTGGCTTGTGTCCAGGGCAGCTGACCCGCGGGCCAGAAGGGCCCTTCCCTGTCTGACCTGCTGCTACAGTAACCTCTTCACCTCAGCTGTTCCGCACTGAACACAAACCGTCCCCGTACAGGAGAGCTCTGCTCGGGAACCAGCAACAAAACATGTTTTGAATTTAGGAAATATTGAATTCCAGCTTCGTGAGAACTTCTTTTTAAGAGCACAATCGTGCTGCTGTATCCTGCTGGAGTCGAACTTCTTTAGCTTGCTCAGTTTAGGGACTTAAATGTTCCAGGTAGTGCCACAACACTAGCCACCAGGGCTTGAACCAGCGATCAATAATCAGTAATATATCCTGCCACCATCATTGTAATATATATTGTTGCAATTATGCGGTCTAGGCAAATCCTCTCTCTCTGGATCTGCTCTGATTTGAATGTCATAACATACAGACTCTCCATGCCATTACATCCCAGCTGTCTATAAATTTAAATCAAATTAGCTCAGCAACTAATGGTTTATAATCTTTATTGATTATTCTATTGATTATTTTTTCCATTAATCAAGTAGTCATTTAGTTAATAAAGTAATTGTGGACCGTCCATTCCAGGTTCCCATAGCTTAAAGTGACTGCTTCAATAATAAAACAGTACGAAGCCCAAATATATTCAGTTTACAGTTATATAAAA